CGCGGTGCGGCAGGGAGCCCCAGGGCAGGACCACCCCTGGGGGGGCTGGAGGACTGTGCCCCCCACCCCCGAGGAGACGGCAGGGGTGCCCATCACGGCAGCCCTCAAGGCTCGGGGAGGGGAAGGAGCACCCCAGCCCCCCCCGCTTTCCAAGGCTGAGATGCAGCTGCAGCCCCATGCAAAATAGGCAGCAGAAACCACATCTGAACAAACACCCCCGTGGCCTTGCTGCTTTGAGAGCATGGAGCCTGGGGACGTGGACAGGGCCCTGTGTTCTGCTCCTCAAAGATGCCCGGGTCCCCTGTGTTGTCCCACAAGCGGGGTCCGGTACCTGCTGTGCAATAAGCCAGTCGTACACACAGAGCCAAGATATTAATTTAGCTCATGTTTGCGCAAAGATGGGTGCTAGCTGGTAATTCCACAGAGCTAGCACACCAGACAAAAGAACTACAGCGTATTTATATTGTTACATGACTAGTAAAAGCCTAACTTCATGCTCCTTCGTTAGTTATGTTCAAATTAGCCTCGCTTGCCATGTAAATTAGCATGCGTGCCCCTTGCAGGTGTGGGGGGGCACGTCTTTCCAGTCTTGAATTGAGTCAGTGGTCGCAATCTCCCCCTGCTGCCTTTACCTTTCCCCTAGTTACCGCAGTTTTTTGCTGACTTCTTGTTTTTTTGGCAAGCATCTAGCCTCTGATGCCTTCTAGGGCAGGATGTTCCCCTTTTATCAGTCGTCTAGTTCTTCAGGGGCATAGTCGTAAGGCATGCATAGTTTGTACAAGGCAATCAGGCTAGAAAAATGAAGACTACAGTCTAGGATAGGTATCAACCCAAACATATGGCTACACCTGCACAGTCCCTAGGACGGATCTACGGAGCACCAAGGTGTCTGGGCAGGGGAAGCGGCCTCGACAAGGCTGCCCAGCGCAGCCCTGGCCCCACGTCTGAGCTAGCAGCCATCCCCAACCGCTCGCTGCCCTGAAGCCAGGGCTGCGGGGTTCCCTCATGCTGGGAACGCCTGGGTGCCAGCCTGGCTGGGGCTCTCCCTCGCC